TATATATATGTGTGTGCAATAAATTCATTCAGTTGTTTTCTTTTGTACACACAATAATTATAATGAAATACTTTATTCCTATCTATATCACCATCTATTGCTATAAAACATTCTGTTGTACTGATGTTGTACTGATGCCAGACATACATTTAAAAAAAAAACATATTTTTTTAATATGTAGCAATATCTCCCTGTGGTGACCCTCCTGTATTAGAGGATGGATCCTTTGTGAAGTATGGAAATCCTGTGACGGGAATTAGGGCTCTGTATATATGCAGTTCAGGGTAAGTTTGGATTTCTAGTTGGTTTCATTAATGTTTTATACTGTGAGATGCACTGGTTTCACTGAACTGCTTCCAGAGGTACAGCACTTTGGCTAAGTGGTTATCACTATTGCCTAACAGTCTGGACTATTGGCCTGAGTACCACTTCATACTTTATCTGACTTCATAATGTTCCCATTGTGTTTTGTGGATTATTCTGGTTTTCTTCCACACAGCCTAATTGGCTTCCTCCTAAATTGCCATTGTGAATCAGGTATAAAAGAAAATTCCTATACTCATCAGTGCCAACTAGGGACACCAGCGTTGTGCACACAGCATAGCCAGGTGGAACTTTTAAGAATGAATGAAACTCATTGTGTTGGTTCATTAAAGGAAAGGAATAGGTATTCACACACCCCTGGCCACTCTTGTATTTGACCATTCCCCACCTTCAATTCTTTTTAGAGAATAGGAACCTAGTTTAATTTTGTGGGGATATATGTAATTTTAATAAATGTTCCTAATAATAAAAAAGTGTGGTAAAATGTACAAAACATAACACAGCATACTGTGCTTCATAGTGTAATCTCAGATGCACTTCCAGATTATTTCTACATTCTTCTCATATGCTATGTCTGTACAGTGCAGTTTATAGAGAGAAACAGTCAGGAGTATGTCATGTACAGTGCAGTGTATAGAGGGGAACAATCTGGAGCATGCCATCTACAGTGCAGTGTATAGAGAGGAACAGTATGTCATGTACAGTGCAGTGTATAAGGGAAAGCAGTAAGTATTATGTCATGTAAAGTGTAACAGTCAGGTATATCCCAGATAGCAAGCAATTGAGCTGCTAGTTTGAAAATGACTTGCTAAACGATTGCTAGACTTGCCGAGCTTCACAATTTTATTGCACAATTACAGCAAGTCTGCATTGCAAGTCTCCAGATCAACGTGCTTTGCGAAAGTGCTGTACACTTGCAGAGCTCCTGCTAAGACCTGCCGGACTGTTGCTGTAGACTTGCCAAGCAAATGTGCTACAAATTTCAAAAGTGTCAACTAGAACTTGTGCTGCAAGTGTTCTGCAAGTCTACAACTTGCCAGGGAATGTGTGCAGCCAGTATACAAGAATTACAATTTAACCCTGTCACAAGTTTGTGGCAGGTTATCCTTGCTATCTGGGATGGTGGAAACATCATACTATGCTGTTACATGTTACATGCAGAATGCCACTGACCGATGTGGCTCATGTCAGCCTGTCATTAACTTGTAGGGGTAAAGGAGTCGCATCTAAAGAGGCTTACTTGGTATTCCAGCCGCAAGAATCCATAGATTCTTACTACAGTTATAATCCACAATGAACACTGCTGACATTCCAAAACCAGACATGCCCTACAGTTGCATCCCAGGTGAGGGCAAACAAGTGCACCGTCACCACAGCAACCCAATCCAGAAATAGCCACACTCCAGGAGTCTTAACAGAACTTACAATTCTTTATTTATGGAGTAAATACATACTGTTTCTTCCTCCCCATGTGTTCTCAACACTAACACGTTTCACCTTTCTGGCTTACTCATAGAGATCATAGTAGTATGTATGCATTTGCTCCATAAATTAAGATTTTTATCTTTAGTGAAGACTCTTGGATTGCGGCTATTTCTGGATTGGTTTTCTTACAACAGAAGTCACAGAGCGCAGCATAAGCCCCAGAGTGAATGTAACTTTACTCTGGTGCCTTTTGGACTGCACAGCCATATTATTACATCCTTCACAACTGCTGTAACTGGAAAGTGGAGGTAAGACTATGAAAAGGGAAGTTATTAGAACAATATCTGATTGCATCTCTGTAACTTCAATGCATTAAAAGATCAACCTGCAGTACATTTTTGGTGAATATTTATAAATATACCCCATAGAGATGAAGAAAAATGAGTAAAGAAATATGGGATGGGATGTTAAGAAAGTGGATGAGAGGGGGGATGTAGGGTGAAGTAATCCCAAACTGGACAACAACTGCAAATCATTCTGTGTAGCCCTATGTACTAACCAAGTGTTGGGGTGTCATTTTTAAAGCAGACATTGCATGAAAATACAATGTCTGCTTAGGTTGCTGTGCCCTTAACCCTTAAATGAAAAACACAGTGACTTCCATTAAAAAACAAAAAATTAGAAGAAAATGTAAAAAAATATAAAAAATACTTACATTACACCCTCTGGCCACTTTCTGTAGGCTCCGGTGACCACACTGGGGCTCACAGATGAATCCTAGAAAAGCTGAGGATGCCAAATCTAAGATGCAAGAAGATGCCATTACTGTGCAGGACCCCATGATCCTTGCAGGATTTGGGATCCTCACCTTTTCCAGGATCCCTCAGGGAGGCCCAGCAAGTACAAGAAAACTTTATCTACACAGATGAATAACCAAATTTCTCCCTGCACAGCTTGAGGCTTGAAGGTCAGGAGGTAACAGAGTGCCTTGAAAACAACACTTGGACGAACCCTGCTCCTACCTGCAAAAGTATGTTCTTCCTTCAAATGAGGGACATTTATAACTACATGTAAAAGTCGAAATATTTTATATTGCATTCCGAACTCTAGTATATGCTATTTTCTATATTAAAAAAAATGTGTTCCAAAAGATGTTCTTTTCCCGAATCGTTCCTTGCATTTTGTGTTATTGTGTTGTTATAGCTGTGGTTGGCATGTGCCTGGCATTGTCTCCTGTTCTTAGTTAAGTACTGGTGGTAAAACTTTTTTGGTTTTATTTTAACAATCCCTCCTTTCTGTGCTCAAAGTTTTTTGAGCACTACTCACCATTTCCATGATCCAGTGAGCACTACTCACCTTCTCCATGCTCCAGTGAGCACTATTCACCATCTCCATGCTCCAGTGAGCACTACTCACCCTCTCCATGATCCAGTGAGCACTACTCACCCTCTCCATGCTCCAGTGAGCACTACTCACCCTCCCCATGCTCCAGTGAGCACTACTCACCCTCCCCATGATCCAGTGAGCACTACTCACCCTCTCCATGATCCAGTGAGCACTACTCACCCTCTCCATTCTCCAGTGAGCACTACTCACCCTCTCCATGCTCCAGTGAGCACTACTCACCCTCTCCAAGCTCCAGTGAGCTCTACTCACCCTCTCCATGCTCCAGTGCGGCACTTCTTGTCCTCCTCTGCCACTTAATAAACATTTTCTACATGCAAGTGTCTACCAAAAATCTGCCATTTTCTCCTAAATATTAATACTATGGACAGGTATGCTTGCACCATTTTTCAACATGTATGATCTGCATGCAACTGAATATATTTTGTTTATTTTTTCAGAAATATATTGCCCGCCACCTCCAGAAATCAACGAAGGTATTCTTGTGGCAGTGAAAAAAATTGAGTATGAAGTCTCTGAAGTGATATATTATATGTGCAAAAAGAACTTTCTTATGGATGGATCACACAGTGCAACCTGTTTGGCCAATGGCCAGTGGTCTGAGTGCCCAGCCTGCAGAGGTAAGATATACAAGTTTATTGAATGACCATCTAATCTAGTGAAGTGTTCCATCTTATGCAATGCAGGTTGAATAACTAGTCCAGAAATCCCTAGCCAAGCCCAAAAAAACAACACGGATTTCAGCAACTTTTCTATTTTGCTCTGGCTTGAACATTAACCTATCTGTCTGGCCTAATTACATCAGCTATTATACAGTTCTCATGAAGCTGGTTGAAGGCTAATATATTTTCAATATTTTATAATATTAAAAAAACTGTCATTCCTGATACTTATACTTGAAAGTGACTCTAGAGCTCAAATCATTTGATGACCTCTGATCTAGCCCATTGCTATCGTCAGACAGCCCTGAGTTTCTGAAATCCAGGCAGATATAAAAAAAGAAAACAACAATGTACTTATATCTTTATTACAAACCATTAAACATATTTTTAAATGCAACCAGTATAAATATCTGACTTTGGCCTGATTACAGCCTCTGGTAATCCTCTACACTCTGAGTAGGAAAGAGAATGGGCAGTAATAGGACCTATACACTTGCACTGACAAAAAACATTCTTACTGGAGGAGAGAGTAGAGAGATGACCTCATCAGTCTGTTCATGTTCCTTTATTGTGCAATCCAGGGTAGAGGGGGAGAAGACCATGCTGTTTTGCTTATCAAGAAAAGTCAGATCTCTAACTTGGCTGTGCTTTCTACCAGGGCTTTGTAAATATAAGGACTTATTAGACAAAAATACAAATCATTTGGCAGGTAAAACAGTTCATATACAGTGTATATAATATATACAGGGTAGGAATGTCCCGATACCGATGCTAGCATCGGAATCGGGCCCGATACAGGGCATTTTGACAAGTACTTGTACAATTATGTATATGTATTACATATACTGTATATACTGCTAATACAGTGCAGACAATACATAATACCATGAATGGATTAAATGAGTTGTATGTAGCCCTGTACTACGGATCATTTAACCCATTCATGTTAGCAGTGGAGAATTGTATATCTATATGTACTGTACATATACAGCACAAATGTCCCGTACATTGCAGCATTAGATTTACAATTATCCCCTGCTAACATGAATAGGTTAAATGATCCTTAGTGCAACTACATGTTATGTACTATGGATCATGATTTAACCTATTCATGTTAGCAGGGGATAATTGTAACTCTATTACTGCAGTGTACGGGACGTATGTGCTGTATATGTATTATGGATCATGATTTAACCTATTCATGTTAGCAGGGCAGAATTGTGAGCGCCTCCCACAAGCTGAGCACCGAGATGCGATGCAGCGATCCTGCCCAGCGCCGACTACAAGAGGCATCGCGTGAGGCTACGGGGATCGGAGTGAAACTGTGAGTAAGGGAAGCTGGGATGGGGCTGGCTGTAAATCTATTGCTATAGCGTACTGGACGTGTGTAATGTATATGTAGTGCATATATACAGCACACACCTCCACTACACTCCAGCAATAGAGTTACAATTCTCCACTGCTAACATGAATAGGTTAAACCATGATCCATAGTACATAACATGTAGTTATACTATGGATCATTTAAAGTCACCTGTCCCTTTAAGAAAAAGTATCGGTAATTGGTATCGGCAAGTACATGAGGGGATGTACTTGTACTTGGGCCTGAAAAAGTGGCATCGGGACATCCCTAATACAGGGGTCAACATTTCAAGTCCTGAGCTACTAGCCAGGCCTTAAGAGTTACTCGCCACCAGTTGCCCACCTAACCCCTACCCTGTCGCTGCCTTAACTCCGCACCTAAACACACCCTCTTAAATAATCTTATAAATGACACTGTTAGATGTTTTATCCAAAATAAAGTTAAAAAAATAAATATTAACAACAACTTTAACAATATTACCATTAAGCTCCCTGCCCCCACATATAAAACAATACACTCTCCCCCTTGTTCACTGCCCCCCACATATAACATATTACCCTAATATATATACACACAGTGAGGAAAATAATTATTTGATCCCCTGCAGAGTTTGTAAGTTAGCGCACTTACAAAGAAATTAAAGGTCTATAACTTTTATCATAGGTGTATTTTAAATGATAGAGACATAATATCAACCAACAATCCAGAAAAAAAAACATGATACAAATGTTATAATTTGAGTTGCAGTTCAGTGAGTAGGGGATCAAATACTTATTTTACTCACTGAATTGCAACTCAGTTTCTAACATTTGTATCAGGTGTATTTTAAATGATAGAGACAGAATATAAACCAAAAATCCAGATAAAAACACATATAAAAAGTACAGACCTTTCAGTTCTTTGTAAGTGGGCAAACTTACAAAATCTCCAGGGGAGATTTAAATAGTGTATGTAGCTGTTTGCCTGGAGTTGATCATCTAGGGCTCCATTTGAGCTAAACAGGAATCCTATAAATGTAGTATATCACATTATTATTCTTTACCTCAGCTGCCAGCAATGTGCAACTATCCAGTAGGGAGTATCTCCTACATTTTTCTTACATTTTGTGCATGGATAATCATGAACCATACACTGAATATAGTGCAGATGTTACATAAAGAAGGTAGTGGTGACTGTGTTGGTTAATTATTGTTATTCGCACAGCAAGGTGTAAAGTGCCAGTTCAGCGAAGCCGGGTCATCTACAAAGGGAGAAAGGTCTGGGTCACGGAGATTGAAGAAGGCCTAGTGCATCATGGTGAGACTGTCACATTTTTCTGCCAGAACACCACTCGAGCCTGCAGCTACACAGCCTCCTCTAAGTGTTATGATAGTGTTCTTCCTGTCCCCGACTGCTATAAAGGTAAGCTATGTGTGAACATGTTTCATTGCTAGTATGCAGGCTTATTTATTTAAAAAAATGCAAACAGCAATGTTGAAGTGCAGCAAAATGCAGTACAATATTCCATATAAGCTAGTTTAATTTTATCTTTCGTCAAGTTAGAGCATTCAGAGTCATGGAGGGTGATTTCTTGCATAGTATAAAGCCATACCATATTATTAGGAATTGGATATTGGCCAGTTGCAAATATTTTAGCAGATTTAATTGCAGATTCTTAATGGGCAATGTTCAGTAGATACTGCAGTGTACTATGGCAGCAACTGCCTCAAGCAGACTGCTAAGCAGAGGGGTCTGCCTGGTAAAACCACATGATCAGTTTTAGTGTGAAAAAATATAATATCTGCACCTTTGTATCCCCTGTAGTTTTGGCTTTTTTTCCAGCAAGGCATTTTAAAGTTAGCCTGGTGAACACGATGGCTGGAATAGTAAATTTTAATATGCATTATTTGATCTTGACTGAAAAAAATATTTAAAAAAATATATTTTAAGTATACTGCTAGAATAATAGATACACCAGTTAATAGGAACGTCTGAATATATAATTATTAATAAAACTACCAATACATATGCACCGGGCTGTACCTACCCCATATGCTGCCTGAGGCAGTGATATAGGATACCCGAGACCCTGCAGAGCCCACTATAGATCCTGCATAGCTCACCTGAGACTCTCTATGGTAGGCTGTGCAGGGCCTCCGGTGGGCTGGTCGCCGGGGTCCCTTTCCCTGTACCTTCTCCCAACTCTTCTTACCTGCTGCTGCTGGGGCCCAGCCTCCTCCACCCGCTCCGCTGTCACCTCTGCCATGCCGCCCCTGGTACAGCTGATACCCATGTAAAGGGCCCCCCAGGCTGCCCAGACCCCTCACATGGGTACCGGCCATACTCCCCTGATGGAAGTGTTCTATCAAAGTTTGTGACTACATTAGAATGTGTGACACATGTTTTAACGTAATCCCGCCCAGTTTTTGGCGGTGGAATTTGTGACCGCCAATAGGTGAAGCATTCCAACACTTTCTCAGCTGTTCCAGGGCAGATCGGCATCGCAGATGGTATGTGCAAGAGAACCGATCTGCCCTGGAAAAGCTGATCAGTCCTGAAATGTCACTTCTATCCGACTCTGCGACTGCAATCTCACATTCCACCCCACTCACAAAGTCGGATAGAAGTGACATTTCAGGACCGAACAGCTGTTCCAGGGCAGATCGGTTCTCCTGAACAACCTATTTGCGATGCTGATTTGCCCTGGAACAGCTGAATTCTTCACCTATTGGCGGTCACACATACCACCGCCGAAAAAATGGGCGGAATTACGTTAAAATGTGTGACCATGTGACCGGTCACAAACTTTGATAGAACAGAGGCCTGGTCTGTAATAATTTAATGAGACAAATAGATTATATTAGGGAACATTACAGTGTAATGTTCCCCATTATAATCCACTTGTCTAATTAAACGGCATAACAGCATACAACCCTCGGCCCCCCCTCCCCGCTCAGACTCACCCAACCAGACCCTTACAGCATCTCAGTCCTCAGACAGACGGTGTGTGCACTGCAGGGGGCGGGTCCTGTGACTTACTTCTCCTCTCCCGTCGCCTGTTACTAGGGACGCAGCCGGGAGAGTAGATGAGTCACAGGGCCCATCCGCCGACTGAGAAGCCCGTCGGCAATGCGGGGCCCCGGTGATCAAACACCAGGACCCTGCACTGCCCCATATTCCACCGGGGGGAGTTGCCCAGGACCGGACATCACTGGCCCCCCCCCCACAGCCTCAGTCCCCGATGCAGACGCATCGGCGGTATTTCCACACCTGGCCCACCGCCTCTCTCAGCTACATGGTGTTTCCGCCGTGAGGAGGAGGTGAGGTGACTGCTTTTATCTTCTGTATGTGCCGAAGTTCTGTGGCATGTTTTGTAGTCCTCTATAACTGATGGAGTTATTCTGAATTTCTGTAGAGAGTAATGCTGGAAGTTGTAGTCCCCTATAGCCGCTACTATTCTGCCTTGCTGTAGAGAGTAATGCTGGAAGTTGTAGTCCCCTATAGCCGCTACTATTCTGCATTTCTGTAGAGAGTATTGCTGGAAGTTGTAGTCCCCTATAGCCGCTACTATTCTGCATTTCTGTAGAGAGTAATGCTGGGAGTTGTAGTCCCCTATAGCCCTTACCATTCTGCATTTTTTGTAGAGAGTACTGCTGGGAGTTGTAGTCCCCTATAGCCCTTACCATTCTGTGTTTTTGTAGAGAGTATTGCTGGGAGTTGTCGTCCCCTATAGCCGTTACCATTCTGCGTTTTTGTAGAGAGTATTGCTGGAAGTTGTAGTCCACTATAGCCGTTACCATTCTGCGTTTCTATAGATAGTATTGCTGGAAGTTGTAGTCCCCTATAGCCGTTACCATTCTGCCTTTCTGTAGAGAGTATTGCTTGAAGTTGTAGTCCCATATAGCCGCTACTATTCTGCCTTTCTGTAGAGAGTAATGCTGGAAGTTGTAGTCCCCTGTAGCCGTTACGATTCTGCCTTGCTGTAGAGAGTATTGCTTGAAGTTGTAGTCCCCTATAGCCGCTAATATTCTGCATTTCTGTAGAGAGTAATGCTGGAAGTTGTAGTCCCCTATAGCCCTTACCATTCTGCATTTTTTGTAGAGAGTATTGCTGGGAGTTGTAGTCCCCTATAGCCCTTACCAGTCTGCGTTTTTTGTAGAGAGTATTGCTGGAAGTTGTAGTCCCCTATAGCAGCTACTATTCTGCCTTGCTATAGAGAGTAATGCTGGAAGTTGTAGTCCCCTATAGCCGCTACTATTCTGCATTTCTGTAGAGAGTATTGCTGGAAGTTGTAGTCCCCTATAGCCGCTACTATTCTGCATTTCTGTAGAGAGTATTGCTGGGAGTTGTAGTCCCCTATAGCCCTTACCATTCTGCATTTTTTGTAGAGAGTACTGCTGGGAGTTGTAGTCCCCTATAGCCCTTACCATTCTGCGTTTTTGTAGAGAGTATTGCTGGGAGTTGTCGTCCCCTATAGCCGTTACCATTCTGCGTTTTTGTAGAGAGTATTGCTGGAAGTTGTAGTCCACTATAGCCGTTACCATTCTGCGTTTCTATAGATAGTATTGCTGGAAGTTGTAGTCCCCTATAGCCGTTACCATTCTGCCTTTCTGTAGAGAGTATTGCTTGAAGTTGTAGTCCCCTATAGCCGCTACTATTCTGCCTTTCTGTAGAGAGTAATGCTGGAAGTTGTAGTCCCCTGTAGCCATTACGATTCTGCCTTGCTGTAGAGAGTATTGCTTGAAGTTGTAGTCCCCTATAGCCGCTACTATTCTGCATTTCTGTAGAGAGTATTGCTGGAAGTTGTTGTCCCCTGTAGCCGTTACGATTCTGCGTTTCTGTAGAGAGTAATGCTGGAAGTTGTAGTCCCCTATAGCCCTTACCATTCTGCATTTTGTGTAGAGAGTATTGCTGGGAGTTGTAGTCCCCTATAGCCCTTACCATTCTGCGTTTTTTGTAGAGAGTATTGCTGGAAGTTGTAGTCCCCTATAGCCATTCCCATTCTGCGTTTTTGTAGAGAGTATTGCTGGGAGTTGTCGCCTCCTATAGCCTTTACCATTCTGCGTTTCTGTAGAGAGTATTGTGGGAGTTGTAGTCCCCTATAGCCGTTACCATTCTGCGTTTCTGTAGAGAGTATTGCTGGAAGTTGTAGTCCCCTTTAGCTGTTACCATTCTGCGTTTCTGTAGAGAGTATTGTGGGAGTTGTAGTCCCCTATAGCCGTTACCATTCTGCGTTTCTGTAGAGAGTATTGCTGGAAGTTGTAGTCCCCTATAGCCATTACCATTCTGCCTTTCTGTAGAGAGTATTGCTGGTAGTTGTAGTCCCCTATACCAGTTACCATTTTGAGTTTCTGTAGAGTGTATTGCTGGAAGTTGTAGTCCCCTATAGCCATTACCATTCTGCCTTTCTGTAGAGAGTATTGCTGGGAGTTGTAGTCCCCTATACCAGTTAGCATTCTGAGTTTCTGTAGAGTGTATTGCTGGGAGTTGTAGTCCCCTATAGCCGTTACCATTCTGCCTTTCTGTAGAGAGTATTGCTGGGAGTTGTAGTCCCCTATACCAGTTACCATTTTGAGTTTCTGTAGAGTGTATTGCTGGGAGTTGTAGTCCCCTGTAGCCGTTACCATTCTGCGTTTCTGTAGAGAGTATTGCTGGAAGTTGTAGTCCCCTATAGCCGTTACCATTCTGCGTTTCTGTAGATAGTAATGCTGGAAGCTGTAGTCCCCTATATTCCTTACCATTCTGCGTTTCTGTAGAGAGTATTGCTTGAAGTTGTAGTCCCCTATAGCTGTTACCATTCTGCCTTTCTGTAGAGAGTATTGCTGGTAGTTGTAGTCCCCTATAGCCGTTACCATTCTGCCTTTCTGTAGAGAGTATTGCTGGGAGTTGTAGTCCCCTATACCAGTTAGCATTCTGAGTTTCTGTAGAGTGTATTTCTGGGAGTTGTAGTCCCCTATAGCCGTTACCTTTTTGCGTTTCTGTAGAGAGTAATGCTGGAAGTTGTAGTCCCCTATATTCCTTACCATTCTGCGTTTCTGTAGAGAGTATTGCTTGAAGTTGTAGTCCCCTATAGCTGTTACCATTCTGCCTTTCTGTAGAGAGTATTGCTGGTAGTTGTAGTCCCCTATACCAGTTACCATTCTGAGTTTCTGTAGAGTGTATTGCTGGGAGTTGTAGTCCCCTATAGCCGTTGCCATTCTGCGTTTCTGTAGAGAGTATTGCTGGGAATTGTAGTTCTCTATAGTCATTACCATTCTGCATTTCTGTATAAAGTATTGCTGGGAGTTGTAGAACTATCTACAGAAATGCAGAAAGGTAATGGCTATAGGTGGGGACGGCGGGCATTGTAAGAGCCGGGAGAGGCCCCCCAAAAAATCTTGCACCACGGCCCATTGTTCCACAGGTCCGCCACTGGGACGGGA